CGGCAGGGGAAACTCCCGGAAAGACCCGGCCCAAAACCGGGCCCGCCCAAACATTTGAAATGGGAGAGGCAGCCCCGGCCTTTAAAGGGCAACCCTTGGTCCCAGGAAGGGGAATGGGGGGGGGGCTTTTTGGGGGCGCCAGGCTTTGGGGCCCCCGCTTGCCTTTGGGGCCACCGCTTGCCTTTGGGGCCACCGCTTGCCTTTGGGGCCACCGCCTGCCTTTGCCGCCACCGTTTTCCGCCCCCCCCGGCCCTTTGGTAAACGGGGAGTCCCGAGGGAGTAACTTTCCCCTTGCCCCCCCCCCCTTGGGTGGGGGGGAAAGTGGACCCGACTTTGCTTTCCTTTTCTTTCCCGGGGCCTTCCTTCCCCAGGAGGTTGGGGGGGGATTTTTTGGAGGAAAGGCTTGAGGAAACGAGGGGGGGGAAATTATTTTTTTAAAAGGGGGGGGGGGGGCATTTTTTTCCCAGGGGATTCTCAAGGAGAGGAGACCCCGGCCCCTTGAAAAGGGGCCTGCCCCCCCCCTGCCTGGGGGTTTTTCCCTGTCCCGGGGTCCTTGAAATTGCCCCCCCCCCCCCCCTTCCTCAAGGTGCTCCGGCCCGACGGCGGCCGGTTCTTCGCCACCACTTTCCTGCGCGGCGCGTACCCCGGCACGACGAGCGCAACCCCCGGCCAGAGTGGAGGCGGCGGCGGCAGCTTCCGCTTCTTCGAGTCGGAATGAGCCCTAGAAGCAGAAGATTCGCTCTTGTCTCCCAACCAGCGCTCGAGAGGACACGTACTCAGCCGCAATCGACCGTGCTCGCTGTGTCTTGTGTCGCTCGTCCTCTCACGCTGCTCTGAAGACTCTGCAAAGCACCGCACTCCCCGCCCCGAGGCTGGCGCATTCCCCGCGTAGGAATGGAGTTGCGGCAGCGCAACAATTCATGGAGCAAGTCATTGATGAATTCATTAGTTACTATAGGAGGAGGAGTTGCGGCAGCTGCTGATCGCCGCCGGGTTCCCGCCAGACGGCGTCAGCGTGCGGCGCGAGGGGCGCGGCTGCGCGATCGTCAAGGCCGTCCTCGGAGGCGCCGCTGCCGGCGGCGGCAGCACCGCCGCCGCAGCAGCGCCCCGTGCCGCAGTTGCGGGCGTGGCGGCGGCAGGGATGGTGGCGGCCGCCGCCGCACCGCCATCGACCGCCGCCGCCGCCAGGCCGCCCTCCGCCTCTGCTGCCGCCTCCCCGGCCCCGCTTTCCGCGAGCGGCGGCGCAGCTGCTGCCGAGGCGGCTGGTGGGGACGGGCGGAGTGGCGTGGTCGGCGGCGCGGGCGGCGCGGGCGGCGCGCGCGACCGCCGCCGCGACGGCGCAGGTGCGGGCGAGGCGTCGGGCAAGGCGGCGCTGGAGGCGACGATTGCGCAGGAGGAGGAGGAGATGATAGAGGAGCTTCTCGACGACCAGGGCATCCAAGACTACATGTGGTCTGACTGAGGCCGGTGTGGGACCGCCATGGGCATGGAGATGTAGGTCCAGAACCCGGCGTCGCGGACACAACACAACGACTAGAGTCGAACATAGTTACCAGTGGTCCGACTGAGGGGAGTGAGGGGCGGAGGCGGCGGGCGGGGCGTGCTCCCTCTCGGGTCGAGCCTTCCTTGGTTGTGAGGGAGGTGCCCGCGCGCACTTTTTTGAACACCTTTTGGGCATGAACCATGTGGATACGACTTACGACGCGTGGACGGTGGAGATGCGGCCGGGGCCGCGGCGGCGTAGCCGGGGCACTTCTGCGTTCTGGGGTAGAGCGTGGAGTGCATATGTGTGTGTGTGGATTACATTTCTCTTCCTGTTCCGGTCTTGTGAGAGCCAGTTCTTTAATACTTATTCGAACACCCCTCCCTGACCCTGGGCGCCTCGTCTTTTCGTGCCAAACGAGCGGATCTCGGCGGGGCATCAGCGCCTCTCGGCCTGGGGCATCATGAGCTCGCGGGGCTGCCCGACGGGGCGGGCCTCGTGCCGATGGACCCAGCCGAGGTGCCCAACCAGTCGGAGCCGCGCCGACGCGCCGCGCGCGACCACCAGCCAGCTTTTCGGCGGGGTCGAGGGCGGTGCGTCGAAAGAGTAGACACTCTCCGGTCCATCCGGAATTTTATCGGTTTAGTTAGCACTGCTGCTGCAGACAGGGCCCGCGCGACCCCATGCCCTTCCCATATCTCGTGAGCTGACCGCGTCCTTCAACCGAGCCTCGTCAGAAGCGGGGTTGGCCATTGCCCCACGAGGGACCACCTCGGCCAGCGTGCGGGCGAGCACAGCCGGGTAGTGCAGCTTTGCAAGTTGGCACAGCACCGCAAAACTCAGCCTTCCGCTCATCATCCGCGTGGTCCTGGGTTGGGATGTCATCCGGAGCCTGGAGCTGGCTGTCGGAAGCAGCTCCGGCAAGAAGCGTGTGGAGCGACGCAGGGTTCGGCGGGTCGGCGTTCAAACGGCAACTGTCGTAGGTCATGAGGGCCTTCACAGTGCCCGCTTTGACCAGCGCAAAGATAGTCGGGCGGGAACCTCTCATATGATGTATCTTATTCCGGGGCCGGTGTGCGGGGAGCGAACCTTAACGACCGCCCAGAAGCTTTCTGAGCGAGCCAATCGGGCCAGGATCATCAGCATATGTCCCCTGCACAACATCGTGGGCGTTTGAGCGGTATTTGAGGAGCACCGCGACTCTGAAGTTCGGCCGGGTGGTCTGCAGACCCCCCCCCCCCCCCCCGGAGCAGCAGAGGACTCAGAGGCTCCGTGGGGTCGAAAAGTCGACGCTGGGAGTCGCACTCGTCAAGCCATCGCAGCACCACGCGGTCCGCACGTACCGTCCACATCCCCTCCACCGCTGAGAAGGCGCAGATCGACCGCCGGGCCGCGTAGTCGTCGTTAAGGAGCGGTTTTTGGAGCCGTACGAAGGGGTCCAAAAGGCGAACATGCGGTTTTTCGACGACCACGCGCGATGTGGTATCTGCTTTTTGCTAAAAACGGGCGCCTAGTGCAGCATCACTAGTAAAACACGCAACCACACTGAGAGCTCCACACTAGCCGGTATAGGCGAGCCCCGGCGGCCTCACCGTCGCCGCTCGCGGCGGAGCCGACGGCGGAGCCAATCTAATTCATTGTCAAAACGCTCAAATTCAAAAACAGCGGCCGCGGGGTGTTTCTTCGCCGAGGGGCCTCGGCCTCAGCCTCAGGCAGCCCCAGGCGTGAGCTCTCCCCGGCCCTCTCTGACGATCGCGAGCCCACACCTGCAGCCGCGTCAATTCGACGCTCACGCCTGCACAAGGCACCCGCGTCCATGACCTCAGCCTTGTCCCTCCGGCACCCCCTCACCCCGACGACCTCCTCGAGGTCACGCTCACTCCCTCGTTTGCCGGTTCCTGCAGGCATGTTGCGCTGGTTGCTCGCTGTCAGTGCTGTCGCTGTCGGCCGTGGGTTCGCAGTCGACCACGCAGTCGACCAAACAACCTCGCAGCCAAGCAACTGCCAGGACGTGGACGATTCTGCCGTCGCGCAGCACGCTGTGAGTCTCGGGCTTGTCGGCATCGCGAGCTGCCACGACGTCGCCGAGAATGGGCTCTGTAATCACGCAGACGCCATGACCGGATGCTGCGCGACGTGCTGGCACAGGCGGCGCAAGTTGCAGTGGGGCGGCCCGGACCGGTGCCAAGGCTCGGGCGCGCCGGTCCATTCGGCGACCTGTAGTGTCAATATCTTCGGCGGCTGCGATTTTGGAGACTTTGACAAAGACATTGAAGGGTGCAGGGAAGGGCAATCCTCTGGCAAGGACGAGCCCGACTACGGGCCGTGCTGCACCAACTACGCATGCACACAAACGCGCCGCGACACATACACAACTCAGTGCTACGGCGGTCGAGGCTGCATGCCCACAACAATCTACACCAGCTCCAGCCGACCTGGCGCGCACTGGTGGCGACTTTAATTAACACACACGGGTACACCACGGCGCACGGGAGCCGCCTAAGCGACTCGCCCGCCCCCGCCACCCCACAGGCAAGCTCATTCACAATATATGCTCTGCGATTGCCGTATGAAGAACGACCGAGATCCGCTGCTTCTGCAGCCCCAGCCAATTCTTGGTGGTCCAAGTCACCTCGTCGAGGTGTACTGGGCCCGCGTCAGAGCTTGTTCTGTAGCACGTCCGCCGCCTTCCGGAGGATCTCGCGGACCCCCTTCCCCGCCCGAACCCGCGCCGAACGCGATATTTTTTGGCGAAAACAGCAGCACCAGCAGCTGCACTTCAACGGTGCGTCCTTGTCTTCCCTGGCGCGTCAGATGATCCGAGGCTGGGATGTCGCTTGTCGCGGGGGGGGCTCCCCCTCGGCCTCGCGCCTCGGGGCCCTCGGGCCTCTCGATTCGCAGCCCAAGCTGCAGAAACGAGCTTTTAGTGGCTATAAGCATAGGCACTGAGATTATGGTGCGCGCGGAGCGCGCTGGTGCTACTCGGACATACGCGCGGAGCGCGCTAGCTAGACACACGCGCGGAGCGCGCCGGCTAGATACCGCGGAGCAAGAGCAAATCAACACAACCGTTCGAATGCTGACGCCGCAAGTCGTTGCCGCCGGTTGCCAAAGTGCGCCTGGATTGCTCAGCAGCACAAGCATCCACGGAGCCAGCGAGCGCCGAGCGACATTGCCTCGACTGAGCCGGACCGGGATGTCGGCGGGCAAACTTGTAAAATGGTTCCGATAGCCGAGGTAGCTCCGGCGACGTGAGAGCACGGCCTGACGATCAAGCACGAGAGCGACGAACGGAGGCGCAGATAACTGGCGGTGAACTCACTGCTGATACCTGCTGGAGCTGCGGAAGATGCAGTAGTACTGCCGCAGACAGAGCACCGCGCGCGGAGCGCGCCGCTGGAAAGCACGCGCGGAGCGCGCCGCTGGGTAGGCGCGGAGCGCTGCCACTTGAGACTGGGCCTGTGGGTGGGCCGAGTGGTTCCTAGCGTGTGAGTCAAACTCTTAATAGAGATCGCATCTAGCCCTCCACAACCCTCAAAATTTTCTTCGGGGCGCGCTCCGCGCGCGGCGCTCCGCGCCTCACTCCTTGAGCGTCATAGGCGCTGGCCCGCACATGTTCTGCAGCTTGGCACACAGCGGTGCCGCCCCACGGCCACGCCGCATGACGCGGCGCGTACGTATAAGGTAAGGTAAGGTAAGGTAAACTTCTCCACACACACGAGGTGGTGGGGCAAGGGGGGGCAACCCTCGCGTCTCCACGTCTAACTCACGACAGGAGCCCCTGCACGGCATTCAAAGTGCAAGGCCCGGTGCGCGTGGGAGTACCGTAGGTCCAGAACCCGGCGTCGCGGACATAACACAACGACTAGAGTCGAACATAGTTACCATGGTGTGTACCACAGGACCAATAAAGAGAACACGTGTGCACTCTCGCCGCCGCCCACACCATGCTGACTCCACATTCCACACGCCGGAGCAGCAAACGACGGCCCCGTGCCTACACGGGCGGCCGACGAGACTGCCCCCTCCCCTCCCTCCCACACGCCCTCCCCATTCCTCTCTCCTGCCACCGCCATCCATACACAAACCACAACGTACCGGCGATGACAG